GCAACGCGTACAAAGACAGTATAAGTCATTATAATCCATAATTATGTCCCTACTGGATGCAACGAATGCCTCGTTTGTAATGGGTTTTCATGTTTTTGAATCGTCGCTCTGTACTGACGGCATCATCACAGTATGGTGAGGGGCGTAAGATTTCCGTCTCACGCTTGAGGTATTCGGCCAATCACAACGCACTGGATAGCTGGCCAATCAGAGCACACCTCGCTTTTTCAGACCGATGAGCTTTGTAAAAATCGACGCGTTTCAGAAGGCGGGGCATAGAGGAGAAACAATAATGTACAATATGTGGAAAATAATGTGTTTTTTTAACTTTAAACCGCATAAACACATTTCATTACACCCACACCAAATACACAAAATAATGTTCTTTTTAGCAGCATCATATGACCCCTTTAATATCTCAAGTACATTTATATCTAATCTAATTTAATATTTATTTTGTATATTTTTTTGTTTCATTTTAATTTAACATAAAATTTTAGTAATTTTGTTTGTCATTATCATTAGTTTTTTTTAAATGTCGATATGGTTTTTATTAAATTTTAGTGTATTTAGTTTTGGTTATTTTAGTACTTCAACTGAAACAAAAATTAGAAATGTTGCAACTATTTTTATTTATTTAATTTTTTCCATTTATATATATATATATATATATATAAACACACACACACACACGCTTTTAGTTTTAGTTAACTGTAATAACTGTGTATTTGTGTGATTAACTGGAGCAAAAAAGTATGTATTTGTGCAGCGTTGTGCAGTTGAGTTTGAGGTGAAGGCGTTTTGTGCAGAAAATCAAGATGAAAAAGCCCAAAAGAGGTAAGAAAAGTCACAAGCACACAGTATTCATTACCAGACCAACATAAGACCCCCTAAAAGAACAAAACCAGATCAGTACAAGACACCTCGAGGCCCAGACCAGGTCCTTGCAAAATATAAACTGTATGACAGAGTCCTGCATTGTGAAAAAAAATTCTGCTGATTTGGCAAAAAAAAAAAGCCTAATATTACCTAATTGGGTGATACAGAATTCAAAAGTATTTTTCTAAATATTCCATTTTTTTTCACAAAACCAATAGTTTCTTGGATGCAGTAAAACAGCCACAAATGTAGCAGAAAACGTCTGGCTTGCATTTGCATTTTCTTCTGTCTCTGGCCATAATTCTAGCATGAAATAATATCATACGATCAACTAAGAATTAAACAAAGAGCTGTAATCTGGCTCAACACACACACACACGCTTTTAGTTTTAGTTAACTGTAATAACTGTGTATTTGTGTGATTAACTGGAGCAAAAAAGTATGTATTTGTGCAGCGTTGTGCAGTTGAGTTTGAGGTGAAGGCGTTTTGTGCAGAAAATCAAGATGAAAAAGCCCAAAAGAGGTAAGAAAAGTCACAAGCACACAGTATTCATTACCAGACCAACATAAGACCCCCTAAAAGAACAAAACCAGATCAGTACAAGACACCTCGAGGCCCAGACCAGGTCCTTGCAAAATATAAACTGTATGACAGGGTCCTGCATTGTGAAAAAAAATTCTGCTGATTTGGCAAAAAAAAAAAAGCCTAATATTACCTAATTGGGTGATACAGAATTCAAAAGTATTTTTCTAAATATTCCATTTTTTTTCACAAAACCAATAGTTTCTTGGATGCAGTAAAACAGCCACAAATGTAGCAGAAAACGTCTGGCTTGCATTTGCATTTTCTTCTGTCTCTGGCCATAATTCTAGCATGAAATAATATCATACGATCAACTAAGAATTAAACAAAGAGCTGTAATCTGGCTCAGAAGAAGACAGGAATTATGCTTGTGGAAGTTTTTTGCTGTTTATAGGAAAATACAAGACTTCACTTTCTAAGCAAAAATGCTATAAAATGCATCATTTTGTGAGAAAGTGTGACCTGCTCAAGCAAAACAGCCACTATTTTTGAAATCAGCGTCACACAATTAGTAAATAAACAAGTATTGTATTTAATTCGGCAAATATGATGCAGAGCGGTGTAATCTCTTTATATAAATATATAAGTATGTCCAACTTCATCTGCATGCATAGAGTAGTACATGTAATGCAATATACATATAATGCAATAATATCTAGAGGCTCTTTTGATTTTTGGGTGTCTTTTTTTATCTTTTGACCATTAGCAATCACAACCATGAATAAACATACAGGTCATAGCATAAATAAGCATAAATAAAAGTATTGAATTCTGAGATTGTTGATTGTTACAGACGTATTACCATGGAGAGGAGATCAACATCAGCGTGGACATCGGCAACAGCTCCAACAGGAACAATGATTTTTTTAAATTGTCACAAAATGTATTCTATATTATCACTCAGCTCTAATCTGCTAATGCAACTATAAAGCATGTAGATATTATAAGCATTTACATTGTGATAGTCTGTAAAGCTGCTGTAAAGACCCAGACGAGGGTCCTGAGACCAAAACTTAAGATCCAGACTCCAGCTCTTTACACAATGTCTTTCTGCAGGAGCTCGGTCCGGTTGGCCATCAGAAAGATCCAGTACGCTCCAGACAAAAGCGGCGCGGCTCCATCGGCTGAAACCACCTGTGAATTCATCATGTCTGATAAACCGCTGCACATGCGTGTCAGTCTGGAGAAAGAGGTGAGTCGTCCTGCATCATATCTAGAGGCTCTTTTGATTTTTGGGTGTCTTTTTTTATCTTTTTACCATTAGCAATCACAACCATGAATAAACATACAGGTCATAGCATAAATAAGCATAAATAACAGTATTGAATTCTGAGATTGTTGATTGTTACAGACGTATTACCATGGAGAGGAGATCAACATCAGCGTGGACATCGGCAACAGCTCCAACAGGAACATGAAGGACTTGTCCGTCTCAGGTGCGTGAAGACTTTTCACTTTAAAACTGATGAGAAAGTGTGCTTTCAGTGAGTTACAGAGTGTTTTCTCTGTTTCTCTGTGACAGTGGAGCAGGTCACGAATGTGGTGCTTTACTCAAATGATAAGTACATCAAAACTGTGGCCTATGAGGAAACCACGTGAGTACCAACACACCATTATTATGTGTAGAGGCGGAGTCTGTGATGTCACAGTGATGTCACATGCTCTTATGACATATTAAATGAGCTTACTGCATAGTATAAGCGTAAAATTAAGTAAATAAATAAGCATAAAATTATATTCTAAAATATACTCAAATAGAAAAAAGTTATAAAATTTTTTGAAATTGTAATAACGTTTCACAATATTGCTCTTTTTGTATTGTTGGCTATTGCTACAAATATACCCCAGCGACTTAAGACTGCTTTTGTGCTCCAGGGTCACAAATATGTAATGCAGTGTACTATCTAGCAAATCTCAACTAATGATTTTTTTAAATTGTCACAAAATGTATTCTATATTATCACTCAGCTCTAATCTGCTAATGCAACTATAAAGCATGTAGATATTATAAGCATTTACATTGTGATAGTCTGTAAAGCTGCTGTAAAGACCCAGACGAGGGTCCTGAGACCAAAACTTAAGATCCAGACTCCAGCTCTTTACACAATGTCTTTCTGCAGGAGCTCGGTCCGGTTGGCCATCAGAAAGATCCAGTACGCTCCAGACAAAAGCGGCGCGGCTCCATCGGCTGAAACCACCTGTGAATTCATCATGTCTGATAAACCGCTGCACATGCGTGTCAGTCTGGAGAAAGAGGTGAGTCGTCCTGCATCATATCTAGAGGCTCTTTTGATTTTTGGGTGTCTTTTTTTATTTATTAATATTTTGAATTAGTTTTTATATTTAGATTTACTGATTACATTTTACTTTAAGTTAAAGTATTATCAATTTTGTTGCACTTTTGTCATTTTTATTATTTTTTTTTTTTTTTTTTTATATGCATACACACACATTTACACTACCATTCAAAAGGGGTCAGTATGATTTTTGAAAAATGTATTAATTTCATTCAGCAAGGATGCGTTCGATCCAAAAGTGACAGTAAAGACATTTATAACGTTACAAAAGATTCTGTTTCAAATAAATGCTGTTCTTTTGAACATTCTACTGGCTTTACTTGAATATTCCTGGAAATGTGAAACGGGTCCATCTGATTCTCTTCCAAATGAGATATATTAGAATAATGCTGCATTATTCTGACTTCTAATATAGCATTGAAGCTTTTTACATTGTGAAGCACATCTCTGATGTTTTAAAATACTCACTAGGTTCAAATGTAACATTTAGGAGTGTCACCTTTATGATGTCACTGTCAGTTATGTATCATTGTTTTGTAACATTTGTGTTCTGTTTATGATGTCACAGGGACACTGTGCCGTCTGGTACGAGTCTGAAGAAGGTTTACACCCTCTGTCCTCTACTGGACAATAACCGTGAGAGACTGGGACTCGCTCTGGATGGAAAACTAAAGCATGAGGACACTAACCTGGCCTCCTCCAGCATGTGAGTGCCGATCATTCAGCACCTATACACTATAAAAATCTATTTTTCAAAGTTGTAAATAAAAGTTATTGGAGTATGTTCACAAGAAAATACTATTTCAGCCTTTCCACTTAAAAATGTCATGTTTAATTCAATGTGTTACTATTTACTAGCAATTTATAAGTGAACATTGTTTCAATTTTTAAGTAAATCCTACACTCCTTAAAATGTGCTGAAAATGTGCTCACCCTCAGGGCATCCAAGATGTAGATGAGTTTGTTTCTTCATCAGGTTTGGAGAAATGTAGCATTGCATCAGTGTCTCAGCAATGGATGCTCTGCAGTGAATGGGTGCCGTCAGAATGAGAGTCCAAACAGCTGATAAAAACATCACAATAATCCACAAACGACTTGATGGATTTGTTCCAGCTTTTGTCTTCTCCAGATGTTAACTGCTGGACTGGAGTGGTGTGGATTGCTTGTGGATTATTGTGATGTTTTTATCAGCTGTTTGGACTCTCATTCTGACGGCACCCATTCACTGCAGAGCATCCATTGCTGAGACACTGATGCAATGCTACATTTCTCCAAATCTGCTGAAGAAACAAACTCATCCACATCTTGGATGGCCTAATTTTCATTTTTGGCTGAACTATTTCTTTAATATTCTCTGCAGTGTAAAGGATGAAGTGCTGAAGGAGATTCTGGGAATGTTGGTGGCTTATAAGGTGGTGGTGAAGTGTAATGCAGCCGGGTGAGTGAGCATGAGCTGTTTTGAGTTTATGCTAACCAAACTAATATCTGGTTGTTAGGGAAGATGCTAATGACTTTATTTCTGCTCTCTTACAGCATCGTTGGATCCAGGTGAGTGTTGAATCCAGCAGAAGTTGTCTAGACTTTGTGTGTACGGTTGTAAGATGTGATCGTGTGTGTTTCAGTGAGGTTGCTGTGGAGGTTCCCTTCAAACTCATGCATCCCAAACCTGATCCAGGTGAGCTGATCACATTACCAAACCTGATTTTACAGCTGTTCTCTTTCAGCACAGAACATGAGTTTTAATCATACCTCGGTTTCTAAAATAAATTCAATTAAATGCACATACATAGCACTACAGTACATGGAGCAAATTCCACTCACATAACCTGCATTAACAGTCATTAATAACCAGATGTTCATCCACCTAGCACCTAGTTGAAAACTAGATCTAAACAACTATAAAATCTAAAATGTATATAAGTGCTCATATCAACATATCAAGTGCCAGTGTTATTTTAGTATCACTATAGCTTTCATTAGTATTTTAATTAGATTTTCTATTTATATTTTCTGTTTTAATTTTAATTTTAAAGTTTTAGTAATTTTTTGCAATTGAGTTTTTTTTTATATAAATGTTTATGTAGTTTTAGTTATTTTAGTGCTTCAAGTTAAACTGAGTGAAAATGTGAGAAGCTGCCTTTGCAACTAGCTGAAATAAAATGCATTTAAGTTTCTTTTTTTCTTAATATTTCATTGTATTTCAGTTAAGGTTTATTTTAATTCAAGTAAGAATGTTTTTTATGGTTTTATTTTTAGTTAACGATAACCCTGACAAGTGCATTACTGCATGATTTTTGTTTTTACAAACTAATGACTCAATTATCTCCTGAGGTCATGTAATTGTGAATTTGAATGGGATTTAAAAGACAATTAATATTCAATAAAATTAACGATTTTATATGCACTTACACTATCGGATGAGAACAAAAATGAAACTGAATTGAGGTGGATAATGACACCAACCTTTCAAAACTGTTATTGAACTGAATTGAAACAACATTAAACTGCATAATGACACAAATGTCTTTTATAGAGCTGCTTTAGAGCTGAAATGTAAATGATGAATTTTACAATATATAACACTGTTATTTTCCTGCTTTGAAGCAATCAGTATTGTATAAAGCACTATAGAAATAAATGTGACTCGACTTGATCTGATAATAACTGAATGTTATCTGCTTTCTCTTCTCCCTGTTCTCCTCGTCCTAAAGAGAGGTAAGCCACAGTTATAATTTTCCATTATCTGGGTGTATATTCAGTGGGGTTCATGTGATCTTATGCTATATGTGCTGTTATATAATAGCCTCCATATAGAGTCCTCGTGCCTCTGATTCCACGTGTTCGGTGCACAATGTGTGGCGTTCACTTTCCTGTCTTTCATCTGCAACAATGCACACACTCTTGAGACGATAAACGAGCCGCGTTAGCTCTGGGAAGGGAAAGTTGAGAGCGCGAGGATGGCTGATATCGGTGTCCCATCTAAATGCGATCGGTCTCTTGTGTGGAGCCCCAGTTTAGCGTCGTTCTTTCAGTAAATCTGTTGTTAGTGTTCAATAGAAACTGTATTCTGACATCAGAACAGGGGTGTGTGTCGTTGACATTAAACACCTTTGTTCCTGTTTTCTGCTTTAGTGTTCCTCTTCATCTTCACATCTGCGATTCTATCGACGTTGATTGAGTTTCTTGTCTGTCTCTTTGTGTGTTTAGTGAAGACACAACTGACCTGGTGTTCGAGGAGTTTAAACGCTCCTATCTGAAAGGAGTCATCGGCGACGATGATGAATCTCCGGCTGAGCCTTGAGAGCCTTCTACATGAAGGAAGACTTGCGTGCGTATAAAGATTCATAAGCATTTACGGATGCTTGTTGAGATTGTGTAGATGTTGTGATGTGCACTAATGTAGGAACTTCTAAGCCAGGTGAGAAAAAACAATAGGCCAAATCAGCATTTATGCTGCAGTCTCCATATATTCACTGCAAATAATTATGTATATTGCAGTAAACCTGATAAACCCTCATAAGAACCTAAAAAAGTTCTCCTAAAATTCATGAAATCATTATTCCAAGTGTGAACTTAGTTTAAAAGGCTGCTTCTTCGAATACTGAAATTATAACTCTAGAGATTTCAGTAAGGATAAACTGATATATAGTACATTTATCACAAATGGATGTGTTGCATAGAAAATTAGAGGCAAATTCTGTTGTTATTTGCTCTGTAAATGCTTTGAAATCAAATAAAACACTTTGTGATGGCAAAACATCTGGGTTTACATGATCTCTGCACCAAAACACTGATCATTTTAATGAATCCTTCATTGCAAAACTGCAGTTTCAAAGCCCTGTAACATATAACGTGGTAAAGTCTTGTAAAATTAGTTTAATTAACCAAAGATTCTCATGACCTGGTGGAACACCACCCTACTCGACTCAGTTAACATCCGAATTTAGTGTGCTACTTCTTATGGCAGCAGTCCAGAGATCAACTCAAACCTGTTTACATTTAGTAATCTGAGTTTCAGTTAAGGAGCATTTCTTGTTCCTTTAACAATAATAAATGTATTTTTTAATGCTTATTTGAGTATTGTGTTGTTTATATGCTAGTGTACTATAGATTTCATTAATGTTTTGAATTGGTTTTCATTTTTATATATTTTAGTAATTATATTATATCAACTCATTACATAAAACCTTCAAATAAATTTTGTCGGGTAGTTGTCAAGTATTTTTCATATTTTATTTTATTTGATAAAATACAACACTGAGTTGCTCACAGGAGTACTCAAAATTAGTCACTTAAAAGGTGTTAAGTTAGGATGCTGCCTAAGTAGATACTAGAAGCAAGACAGCTCACTAGGTTTTGGAACAGAGCTGCTGCATTTGAAAATTAAAAATGGCTACATTGGTCATTGACACTTCCTAAGGCTTTTGCCGCTTAATGTGCATCATGGTCTGATCTGATTTGTTCAGATGGTTTGACTAGTCTAAGTGAAAAAACAGTCAAAAACAAGGAGTCGGATTAGTAGTTTACAATTTATTGGCAATATAAAGGTAATCAATACACAGAACATGAGCATGAACATGTTGTGTTGTGTCATATTGTTACATGGTCACTGCTAAAATCCAGGATTTTTTTGGGTGGGCCCCCTCTTCCCCCCGGACCCATATAGGCAACACCATGAGAGGTTTCCCAATATAATATTGTGTCTGAATAATCCATACTCAAAAGATATAAGCCTAAAGTATAGAGACTCTCTTTCTCTCTCAAACAGGTGTTTAACACTTCAATTGTGTAAAACACCTCTCTTTCTTGTACCTCTCAAATACTTCTCTCTGCTCACCTATCCTGAGACACACATACATGCACCGGCCCACCCAGTTTTCCTGTTCTCATTCTCATTTTCACTCTTATTCACAGTGTGTGTCCACTGAATAGCTGGAAGGATGATTTAACAGCTGATTGGTGCATTCCTGCTCACTTTTCAAACAAACATCCGGCTGAAAACATGTCTGCCAAGGGAGCAACCTCCCGACTGATCCACCTCGCTGTGTATTGTTGGGTCATAATACAACTAATCAAGTTACGGGACATGCACTGCAAATAAACACCGCACATATCCACCTGAAGAACTAATTCACTCCAAACATGAGGAAGAGAAGGCTCTGCTTTCAGCCGAAGGTTTGCTTCTACATACAAACTACATAAAGTTGTCTTAAAATAGAATCTACATGTAATCTGGGATACTATTGAAACAATAGAGGTTTTGGGGTTGAGGTTGAGAGGTGGATCATTTTAGAGGTTGGTTAAGAGTTTGGGGTGCAGGGTGTAGTTAGAAGTTTGGGTACAAGTTTAGAATGTTGGGTGTAGGTTAACAGATTAGGGTGCAGGTCTAGGGAGTTGATAAAAGTTTAGGTTTAGAAAGTTGTGTGTAGGTCTAGGGTGTAATTAAATGTTTGGGTTAAGGTTTAGAATTTTGGGTGTAGGTTAACAGTTTAGGGAGTTGATAAAAATGTAGATTTAGAATGTTGTGTGTAGGCCTAGGGCGTAGTAAAAAGTTTGGGTGAAGGTTTAGAATGCTGAGTGTAGGTTAACAGATTAGGGTGCAGGTCTATGAAGTCAATTATTGTTTAGGTTTAGAATGTTGGGAGTACGTCTAAGGTGCAGTTAAAACTTTGGGTGAAGGTTTAGAATGCTGAGTGTAGGTTAACAGTTTAGGTTGCAGGTCTAGGGAGTAGACCTAGAGTAGAGTTTAGGTATAGAATGTTGGGTGTAAGTCTAGGGTGTAGATAAGTTTTGGTTGGAGGTTTAGAATGTTGGGTATTAGTCTAGGGAATAGGTAAAATTTAGGTTTTGAATTCAGGGTGTAGATTAAGTGTTTAGGGTCTAAGGCCAGGGGTCTCCAACCCTTCTTTTGGAGAGCTACCTTCCTGCATTCTTCAGTTCTAATCCTGCTTCAACACACCTGCCTGTTACTTTGGCGTAATCCTGAGCACCTTGATTAGCTGTTGTGTTTGAATAGGGTTGGAGCTAAAATCTGCAGGATGGTAGCCCTCCACGAGTGTGATTGGCTGCCCCTTGTCTGGGCTGTAGGTGGTGGTTTAGAATGTAGGGGTTGGTTAAGGGTTTAAGGTGTAGGGTAAGTGGGTAAGGTATACATATGGGTCTTTACGAATGTTCCCAGGGAATATTATAGCTAGGGAACCCTGGATCAGTTCCATTGTTAGCAGCGTTTCCATTGAAATCTCTTCCAAACATGTCATCACATCTGTCTGGGTACAACAAAAACCCGCTGAATGTGCTGCTGGCCTCGCTGCCGGTGAACATGCCGTTACTGAAGATGTCTTTCACCTGTACCCACACCCAGTCACCCTGGTTCAGACTCATCACCACCTGCTGAGAGGCAGTGTTCATTTCCACCAACGTAGTTGTCCTCACCGTGGCCTCGAAGTTGTGGAAGAGTCCGACCTTTAGCATACGGTTGGACACTTGCAGATTGTAGCTAAACACGTAGGTTCCGTTAGCCGGGGCAGTGTAGACGCCGTTATCAGGGTTGTAGTGCAGGTTTAAGTTGTAGATGACACGTTTGAAAGGCACTGGCCGGCTCGGTGTAGGATAGGAAGTGAGTAAAGCAGCAGAGAAAGCAGATTGCACGGTGGGTGAACAAGGTCCGGGCATACCAGTCATTCCCATCTCTCCCTGATCACCTTTAGGTCCTGTGGCTCCAGTTTGACCTGTCAGCCCTGTCGGACCCTGGTCTCCCTTCTCACCATTTTCACCTGTTTGACCCTGGGCTCCTGGAGCCCCATCCTGACAATTGCACAGGCCCTGTGGACCTTGGTCACCCTTCTCCCCTGGTACACCTGGAACGCCAGACTCCCCCACCACACCCGGATCACCCTTCATCCCTTTGGGACCAGGGTCTCCATTCAGCCCAGGTAAACCCCGTGCACCTGCAGGGCCGGGAAGACCTGGCTCACCTGCCGGCCCTGGTATGGGCTCACAGGTTTCCGGGCACTGACCATCTTCTCCATTTGGACCCTGTTCTCCCGTAGGACCATCAAGACCACGGTCACCCTTCTCACCTGGGAAGCACATATATAATAACATGGTCACCAAGGCCCATGATAAGCATTGCGTGTATGCAAATGGTGATAGATTAAAGAAGATTCACTGACCTTTAAATCCCCTGTCTCCCGTTGGCCCTGAAACTCCAAGATGACCAATGTCACCCTTATCTCCGGTGTCACCTTTCTCACCTGTGGGTGTGTGAATTACATTATTACCAGATTTAACTCAATTGATTTAAATGAACACCAGTTTCGGAGAGTAACTAACTGACCATGGTCTCTATGATCTACTTAAAGGTATAGTTCATCCAAAAATGTTGGGTGAAGGTTTAGAATGCTGGGTGTAGGTTAACACATTAGGGTGCAGGTGTAGCAAGTCAATTAATGTTTAGGTTTAGAATGTTGGGTGTAGGTCTTGGGTGTAGTTAGAAGTTTGGTTAAAGGTCTGGAATGCTGGGTATAGGTCTAGGGAATAGGTAAAGTTTAGGTTTAGAAGGTTGGGAGTAAGTTAAGAGTTTGGGTTACAATTGTAGATTTCAGGGTGTAGACTAAGAGTTTAGGGTCTAAGGCCAGGGGTCTCCAACCCTGCTTTTGGAGAGCTACCTTCCTGCATTCTTCAGTTCCAACCCTGCTTCAACACACCTGCCTGTTACTGACAAACTAGCTTCCCCAACACTGATACGCACACATTCATACTGAAGTAAAATGCATCATACAAGACTTGTTGTTGAGTCTCACCCTTTATGCCGGGACGTCCTGTGAATCCGGGACGGCCGGGAAGCCCAGTGAGGCCTCTTGGACCTGGACTACCAGGAACTCCTGTGAGTAACAGATGCAGTTAGTAAAACCTTTGATGATAATAAACAGAGTATGTGTGAGAATAGGCTGTGGAGTTTGTACCTGGCAGTCCGCGGTCGCCTCTGTCTCCTTTCTGGCCTCGGTTTCCGGAACAAGTGGAGCAGATGCAGAACCAGGGTACCTGGTCTGCTGTGGGTGGAACCGGAGCTTCCAGAAGCATCTGACAATAGGATAAATCAGGCTCCGCAAATCCCGTTTGTCCTTGCGTAAAGTTCTCAGGGGGCATTAACCCAAACTCTGTTGCACGGAGTTCAGGAAGTAAAGCACACTGTCCGAAAGACAAATACACCAACACCCCCACGATACCCCTCATGTCCTGTAAACAAAATCATAGAGTTAAATCTAATTACAGAGCACCTTTCAAATATTATGTTACTGTCTCACATCAAGAAGAGTCAAGAATGTTTCATTTTATTGGTTGCTCTGGATAGCATGTTCCTGACTGGTTGCTGTAGCGGCATTGTTGTTTTAAACAAAAGATTATCGGAGTACGTTTTACAAGGGAATGCTTTTTAAGATTTTTACTTTAAAATGTCATGTTTGATCAACTGTAAATATTTGTGAAACTTAGCAGCAGTTTCCAAGTGAAAATTGTTTCAAAGTATTTATTTAATTATTATTTTTGTGATTTAAGTTTGAGCACGTTTGACCTGGCAAACACCACAGATAAATACACCTGTTTTGCTATAAATTAACGAATAATATAGAAAATGCTGTATAATGGGAAAAAAACTACAACACTAAATATTTAATTCTATTTAGCTTTTTTTGTATAGTGAATAACTGTCCTTTTTATCAATTGCAGCAATAAGGTAAGACAGACAGACATATTGATCACCCACCGTGTTCCAGTGAAGCAGCATCTTGCTCTTCCTCAGTCCAAGTTAAGTGTGTGAAAAAATCTCTGATGTTCTGACGAGCTGCACTTATATAGCCGCACCTGTGCGAGTGTGTTTGTGCGTGTGTGTATTTGACCGCTGGGACATGGGATTTTTTTCTCTCTCCATTCTCTGCGACCTCATTAGGCCAGAATATCATGAGTAATAATATAGTAGAGAGAAAACAAGAGAAAGCTTCTGCCTTTGTGTGTGTGACACAGCAGTGTGAGAGCAGGCGCGGCTCCATCAGGACTGTAACAGAAGAGAGTAGATGCATCTCTGGAGATGATTTATAATACAGGGAAGCATGGGAACATGGCAGGCCTCCGACCCGATTCAGGTCAGATCTCACACACATACAAACACAGAGGATTCTCTTTCTGTAAGAGCCAGTCAACAGAATATGTAACAAGTAATACCTAGAACATCTTATCACAGATCTGTGAAGAGTATCCCATAATGCAGCAGTACATTTGTTATTTTAATCTTTTATTTTGGCAGCTATAGCGCCACACTGAATTTACTGAAGAGAGATGGCTGTGCTATTTATTTCATACAGTTCTGACTGTCATTTTTTTCACTTAAACTATAGTTTAAAGTCGTTTGTTGACACACTGTGGCTTTCAAAACATTTCACCGTTTGTTTGAGCATCTTGACCAAGAACAAACAAGAAAATGGTGTTTGTTTACAGTAATGTGTATAGGTTTTATTTTTTGCTCTACAAAGAAATAGCAAAATTGTTCGTTATTTGACAATTTTGTTGATTTAGGTGGTTATGTTTGACATGTTTTTAACAGAATAGCTTTAAAAAATAATAATAATAACTGTCTCATCCCTTTCTGTTATCCATATGTACATCATGTGAACGTTACAAAAAGTTTTTCCCAGTGCAATCTTGACTTCCACTGTAAATGCTTTAATGCAAAGGCAATTTACAGTTGTGCTCATAAGTTTACATAGCCCTTGCAGAATGTGCAGAATGTTAATAATTGAAACGAAATAAGAGGGAGCATGAAAATTGCATGTTATTTTTTTAATTTAGTGCTGTCCTGAATAAGCTATTTCACATAACAGATGTTTGCATATACTCCACAAGACAAAATAATAACAGAATTTATAAAAATGACCCCATTCAAATGTTTACATACCCTTGAATTTTAATACTATGTGTCATTTCCTGGATGATCCACGGCTGTCTTTATATTTTGTGATAGTTGTTCATGAGTCCCTTGTTGGTCCTGAGCAGTTCAACTTTCTGCTGTTCTTCAGAAAAATCCTCGAGCTCCTGCACATTCTTTGGGTTTCCAGCATCTTCTGCATATTTGAACCCTTTCCAACATTGACTGTATGATTTTGAAATCCATCTTTTAACACTGAGGGCAATTGATGGACTCATGCATAACTATTACAAAAGGTGAAAACATGTACTGATGCTTAAGAAGACAACATTAAGAGCCGGGGGTGTAAACTTTTTAAATTGGATGATCAGGGTAAATTGTACTTATTTTGTCTTCTGGGAAACATGTAAGTATTTATGTAGCTTCTGAAGTCCAGTACTAAAAGAAATGTTTTCACCTTTTGTAATAGTTGTGTATGAGTCCCTCAGTTGTCCTCAGTGTGAAAATATGGATCTCAAAATCATACAGTCAATGTTGGAAAGGGTTCAAATATGCAGAAGATGCTGGAAAATCAAAGAATGTGCAGGAGCTCGAGGATTTTTCTGAAGAACAGCAGAAAGTTGAACTGCTCAGGACCAACAAGGGACTCATGAGCAACTATCACAAAATATAAAAACAGTCGTGGATCATCCAGGAAATGACACATAGTTTTAAAATTCAAGGGTATGTAAAATTTTGAATGGGGTAATTTTTTATAAATTCAGTTCATTAAACATCTGTTATGTGAGATAGCTTATTCAGGACAGTACTAAATAAAAAATAACATGCAGTTTTCATGATCCCTCTTATTTTGTTTCAATTATTAACATTTTGCACATTCTGCATTATGAAAACTTATGAGCACAACTGTATATTATTATTATATATTATTATCAATATTGATACTATAACTGAACTGAGATGAATCAGCATTGAACTAAATTGAGCTGAATGATAAAAAATTCTGTTAAAACAATTTCCACTCAAAAAATTCCTTGTTAAAATTAACAAATAATGACAAAGAATTGGCAAGCAACAATGAATTATGCATGACATTTTTTTTTCTTGTAAAATGTAATCAGATCAAGTTTATTTACAACAATATATATATATATATTTTACAATGTATGTTGCTTTACAGTGTCATACAGCATTTAATGGTCATTTAATAACTGATTTATTTTGCAACATTAACACTGTTATTTTTCTGTTTAATACTGTGAAGCTCCACTGAAACAATCTGCATTGTATAAAGCACTTTATAAATAAATGTGACTTGACTCTAATTTCCGGACAATAGTGGACGTAAAATGTAACAAATATCATGCATAACGCATGGTAAAACGCACACACACATTATGCAGGATCAGTTTCAATCTCAGTTTTCTTCCCTATCACATGGTAGCATGTAAAAAGAGCAAATTACTGTGAAAGGTGTGTGTTTGTGTGTATTTGTGAAAGAGAATTATCGAGTGTGTTACTGAAGTCGATGCGGAGTTGTTTGGAAAGAATGTGTTATTATTTGAAGGGAATGCATCCTAATGAAGGCTAGTGTGTGTTACTGAGGAAGCATGCATTGGCAAGGTGTGAAACACAGATGTGAAACTGAATACACAAACACAAAGCCACGGCAGCTTCTCAGGATCAAGTCTACAGTTACACACTCAGCAATCATTGCTGTATTTATTACATTAGGTGTATATTTACAGGAAACACACACTCTCGCTATTATATTCTAGACTGTTCCATAACCTCAGCTTGAACGTTTCACTGCAGGCTGTTGTGATGTTATTGTGCTTTTAATGTCCACAGCTTTTTCTTGAAACATCCATCAATCATCTGAAGAAACAGCTGAAGCTGACTCAGGTGGATCTTTGCATGTGGTTATGCAAAGCTATTGGTTTAACATTTAAAATGGTACAAACTTCGTTTTAATTGAAAGCGTGCTTTTGGTATCTTTCTTTAAAATACATGATACTTAGTTAGATTTTTTGTAATCTAATGCAATCCCAGTTTATAAATATATGTTCGCATGTTCCCATTAATTTATGAAAGTGTTATTTCTGAATGTTCACATCCAGCTTTTTAAAAACTTTTTTTTCTTGGCTACATGAATAAGGAAACATTCCATTTTATAATTTGGCAAACAACATGAGAATGTTACTTTTGAATGTTCTCAGAACGTTCTGAAACAAGTAGTAACATTTAAAAAAAAAAAGTTAGATGAGCGTCCAAAAAGTTTTAGAAAAAAAAAAAGTTCCATGAATGATGTATACAGTGGGTACGGAAAGTATTCAGAGTGCTGTGTGTACATTAATGAGGAAAAAAAATTAACTTAAATGATTTTAGCAAATGGCTGCAATATAACAAAGAGCGAAAAATTTAAGGGGGTCTGAATACTTTCCGTACCCACTGTAAATAACATTTTTGTGCGAATGTTTTAAGAACAGATAATTTTGAGCAAACATTCTAATAACGTTACTAGAAGAACATTTGTTCATAACTTTCAGAATTAAAGGGTTAGTTCACCCAAAAATGAAAATTCTGTCATTAATTACTCACGCTCATGTCGTTCCAAACCCGTAAGACCTTCGTTCATCTTCGGAACACAAATGAAGATATTTTTGCTGGAATCTGAGAGCTCTCTGACCCAATAAATGGGAAAACAAAGTAACTGGCATTACTTTTTTGAAAAAGTAACTCAGATATTTTCTTGTAAATTAAAAAAGTAATGCGTTACTTTACTAGTTACTTGACAAAAGTAATCTGATTACGTAACTCGCATTACTTGTAATGAGTTACCCCCAACACTGTCCCAGACCCATGAAACGTAGTAAGGACATCGGTAAAATGCGACATCAGTGATTCAACTTAAATTTTGCAAGTCTATGACAATACTTTTGTGCGCAAAGAAAACAAAAAAAGTCTTCTCCCCGAGTTAACGTCTTCTGCCATTTTGGAGAGTAGCACGACGCATGCGCATGCTTTTCCCAGAACGTAATCAACGTAATCAGCATTGTTTACGTTCAGCATGCGTGCGCTTTCTGCTGAGTGTAAACCAAAGCCACTAGAAGGCAAGCCTGCAACCTCTAGCCTAAAAAGCATAACGGCTAATGTTAACGCTTCCGCTTCTTTGGCAGTATGTGGGAACGGAGACCAGACGCCGTTTCTTTGAATGGATGTCAATGTAGAAGAGGCTTCACTACGCTGAATAAACAGCTTTTTAGAGGAAACGGCTTATCATTTAATGAATCGACAGCCTATCTGCTAATCTTCAACATGTTTTACACTGAACAATACTTTTGGATTGAACTGTTTTTTTTACTACTAGTTTTAAGAACCGATAACGAACATTCTAATAACGTTACTAGAAGAACATTTGTTCATAACTTTCAGTATTAACGTTCCCTGTCAGCTGGGATGACATTCAGTCATTTTAAGTGTGACTTGTGTGTCACAAGAGGCGGACAGTATGTGAAGTATTTTTACTCTGCTTTGAAAGTATTTTTGAAGTGTCTGTACTTTATCAGTGTTTTTCTTTGGAAAACATTTACTTCACAATATTCCAAAGCATAATAATGTACGTTTTACTGCACTACCTTTCACATTAAATATCATTTGATACTTAATTACATTAGAAATCTAGTACTTTCTTACTCGAGTAAACGTAATTCAAAGTTTTACTTGAGTACACTACATTTTTAATGTTCTTAAGTATTAAAGGTAAAAAAAACAACTTGTATTTATGAAACAAAACTACCAAATTTTTCTAAGTTTAATCGCAACTTAATCATTGCTGTTAATAGTGTTCACAGTCTGTTTGATTACATGTCATTGACTAACTGCACAAATTTTACTGTACATTTCTGCCATATGGACATCAACTTGACATAGTCACCACTAATAAGCTACTATTAAATATAATGTAGAAATTTTAAAATAGAAACTTACATTTTCTGTAAAGCTGCTTTGCAACGATTTGTACCGTGAAAAGTGCTATACAAATAAACTTGAATTGAATTGAGAATATAGTGCAGTAAAAAGTAGGACATTGTGCTTTGGAATGTAGTGAAGTTAAAGTTTTCCAAAGAAAAACACCCTGATAAAGTACAGATAATTTTTTTATTTAGTTGAGTAAAGTGAAAATACTTCACTACTGTCCACCTCTGCTTGTGAGTCCAAATATTTTGGGGGCCACACTCGTTTTGTACAGTATCTCAGTCACAGCTCCTCTGTCCGGTAGGCGGCGCTCCCGGCGGCAGTGTTTGGTCTGTCCGTGCGGCGGCGCTGTGAGGCCGGTCCCGCTGGAGCAGAGCGTGAATCCCGGGGGCTGGAGCGCAGGATGGCGGCGGTCGGTGCTGCTGCTGAGGCCGAGTCGTCGGACAGCGAACCGGAGCAGGAGCACGGATCCCCGCAGAAACTCATACGGAAGGTCTCCACGTCAGGTCAGATCCGGAGCAAGGTAATATACCGCGTGCGTGTGTGTTTAGGGTGGGTTTGCAAAGAGAAAAGCGCCTCAGCTCAGACCAAGCGGCCCGTCTGAGATCCGCGACATTTCCTGCGTGTCCAGAGCCTCCGGTTCCGACCGACACCGACACCGGTAACCGGTCGCTGAGACGAGAGCGTGTGAATATAACGGAACCGCGCGGGTCTGAGATGAGCGGACTCTGCGCGCGCGTGTTCCGCTGGATTGCAACATTGTAACGGTTTGTTTGGAATCTGAGTTTGAAAATGAAACACTGTAACATTTGCAGCTTAGTGAAAGCGCGGCGGTTACATTCAAACCCAAATTCCCTTACAAAAAATGACCATACTTTCTGCCGCAGTTGCTCCAGTTATTTTACTATAGTAAAACTGTGGTAAAAAAAAAAAAAAGTCATAAATAATACTAAAAAGGAGGAAACGATAGAAAATATATAAAAGCTTTTAAAGCTATTTTAAGGAAATTACATATTGATTTATCATATATATAGGCTATAATATTTAAAAAGAGTAGCAAAATAGGTTACACTTTATTTTGATGGTAATTCTGTTGACTAGGTAACGTTGCAGCTACATATTATCTATTAGCTCTCAATAGAGTGTTGGTAGAGTATTAGTATGGTTAGGGTTAGAATAAGTTGCAAAGTTACTGATAGTCAGTAGAATGTCTGTTTGGAGACCATCACAATACAGAGATAGCAGATATTAATCAGATAGTCTACTAATACTCTAATGAGAGTTAGTAGACATGTAGGGGCAATGTTACTTATTGCCAACAGAATGTTCAAAAGCGACCATCCAAATAAAGTGTTGTTTCCGCAAAATATGTGCAAATATTTCTTAATTTTGGTGGAAACTGTGGCTACCAGCATGTCTATCTCTCCGTCTGTTTGTCTGTCGGCCAGTTCGGTTTACAAGCTCAAACCTTACAATAATAGTAGTCATAGTTTTTGTTCCTTCGTCATAGTTATCATTTATTATTATTTAGGGTTGCAAAAAGGTGGAACATTTCCAGTAAATTTCTGAAACATTCCAGAAAGTTTCCACCCCTTTGCAACCCTATTATTATTACAGTAACACTGTGGTAACTTGGGTTTAGCCTCCACTATCATTCAAAAAATATATATGTAAAGCAAAATAAGATTGGGAAAGCATCTGTTTGCTGGAGATTTAATGTAGTTTTTGCATTTTAGTTCAAACTACCGTGTTGTTTTAAAACAGATGCTGTGTACCCTACAGCTTTAAGATCTGAGCTGCTAAACCAAAGGTTGAATTATGAGTTATCACTATTCACACTTATTAAAAATCAGTAGTTGCGATCAGAATCTTAGTAATAGTCTTGACATTTTATGCTTGTTCCGTTACTGACAAACAGCTAAATGTAAGATAAAGTGATAAAGAATAAGAGAACATGTTCTTGCAGAACTGACTTCCTGAAAGCTTGATCTTGCCGTTTTGACAGAATTCTTTGATTTAGTGCATTCTTGTAGTATGCTGGATCTGGTTTCGTTAATGCGTAACCTCATTGCCCTATTCGAAAGACTCAAAAATAAACCATCAAATGTTCATGTTTTTGCTATCTCTAAATATCAGTTGCTTTCTGTGTGAATTGGGTCTAGATTTATGGTTATGGTTAGGATAAAGTATTTTTGCAAATATCATTAGCTTGCTATGAAAAGCACTGTGTACATGAGAGATGTTCAGTAACAGAGCCTCAAAAGCCTGTGTGTATCCGGTTAGTGAGATCACATGGTAGATATGTGAGATGATGCTCTGTTGCTTAGGACGGACCGGAGATGATCCGTGTTTGCATCATTTATATGCTCTTATGGTGTCTGTGATTTATTGTTTAATATCTTTCACCTAGAAAACTAACCGGTGTTGTTTGCTCATGCCGAAGGGCAATTCACAGCCAGAGTCTGTAGAAAGCGCTTATGTGTGATTAAAGCAGGACACTACAGAGAAAAGCATTGGTTTTTCATGAACTGGTTTAGTTTTGAGGTTTCCGTAATGTTTTTCTTTCAGTTTAGTGGAAAGAAAACATATAAAATGCACATTTAAGTTTATGTTCTTACATTTGGGTCTGTAGACTTCAATTACAAATACATATTTTTAAAATATGTTTTGTCAAAATGAGTTTTTTTTCTCCACTTCGGCAGCACTTACAAACACCAGACTTTATTCATATCTAGGCCTATATTCTGAAGGATTTTACTGAGGGGTTTGTTTATATAGGATTCATCTTAATTTATATAACGTATTGTAAAAGTATTTTGTTTCTGGCTGCTGACTGTACTTAAGTTTTTCAGTGATAAAAAGAGAAATCCCTTCGGTAAAAACTTTTAACTCTGATATTTCCACAATATTAAAACAATAATTAAGATTTCTGTTCTGGACATTTATTCTAATTAGTGTACACTTAACAAGAAAATACCTAAATTGTATATTTAACCAACATTTCAGAAAACGTGTAATACAAAAAAAAATTTTTTTTTTTATTTCTTAATATAATCAACTGTAAAAGGTTAATGATTGTTTGGTGATTGCCATTTTTACTCTAATCATCTTAAAAAGGTAAAGTTGAGCAAAAACTATACTAAAACTAAATGCCACATGGGTGATTTTTGCATGACGTACCTGTTTTTATATGCACAGCTAAAAAATTTGTGCATACTTTTATTAAAGCATTAATGTTTCAAAAATTAATTCTGAAACACAAAAGGTGAAATTTAGCTCATTGTCCAGCAAAAGTGGGATGTCCCATTTTGGTGTTTGCATCACATTAAATTTACAAAAGTGATTTAATATAAGCATAAAGTAAAGTGTCTACTTTAGTTTGTCAAATAACTTTTGTGAAAAATATGAGTGAAATAATGTTCCATTCCATTGTCATTAAGTGTAACATGTTTATGTAAAAAAAGAAAAGAAAAAGAAAACAGAATAGAAAAAGAATAGAGCAAGCTAGTGTTAGAGGCCTTTTTTGCTTTTGTTAATCAGAAGTCAGAAAGTCAGAATTATAATTGTATAATAAATCAAAAGAAAACAAATAGATACAATGCAAAAATATTAGAGAAGCAAGTGTTAGGTTTTTTTTAAGAAAACAAGCAGTTAGTAAATAAATAGAGTGTCTAAAAGGGGGCATTTAAAAAAAAATAAAGAATAGAATTAGAATAGAGAGTGCTAGAGTTAGAGGGTCGAATAAAGATGGAAGAGATGTGTTTTTAGCCGATTCTTGAAGATGGTTAAGGACTCAGCTGCTGGGATTGAGTTGGGCAGGTTATTCCACCAGGAGGGAACATTTAATGTAAAAGTCTGTGAAAGTGATTTTGAGCCTCTTTGGGATGAACAATAAAGCACCGTTCACTTGCAGAACGCAAGCTTCTAGAGGCACGTAAGTCTGAAGTAATGAATTTAGGTAAAGGGGTGCAGAGCCAGTGGAGGTTTTGTAGGCAAACATTAATGCCTTGAATTTTATGCGAGCAGCGATTGGTAGCCAGTACAAACTGATAAACAGAGGTGTGACGTGCATTCTTTTTGGCTCATTAAAGATTAATCTTGCTGCCGCGTTCTGGATTAATTGTAAAGGTTTGATAGAAGTGGCTGGAAGACCTGCCAAGAGAGCATTGCAATAGTCCAGCCTGGACAGAACAAGAGCTTGAACAAGGAGTTGTGAAGCATGTTCTGAAAGAAAGGGACATATATATATATATATATATATGTATATGTGATCATACTAAATTTGATTATATTTTAAATGATTAAAAACATGCTGACAAATTGGTAAAACTAGCGGTTTGGTGGTAAAGATTTAAAATTACATTTGATTAGTTTTTGGGGAGCTGCACTGAGACCCTTAAATAGTTTTTTAATGTCATTCAATGATTCTGTAAAAATGGCTGACAAGATTGTTTGGTATATAAACTATTGTTACGCTGAATGACGTAAATCATGGTAAAAAATTTTTATCGTAATAAATTTTTTGCTCTGAAAAAAATAAAATTAAACAGGACACATCTAATGTATGGATAAAAGTTTAAAAGCTGTGTTATGCTTTTGATGCTTCGAAACCCCTTTTCGTCTTTGACCCAAGTGTTTAGGGACCAGACATGAGGGTAAATGATAAGGTTTGTTATTTTAAGTGCACTATTCCTTGAAGTCTCCGGGAAGTGCGCTTGTCTAGAGATGCATTAGTTAAGGTAACAGTAACGTGTGGGCGGCCAGAGGCTCTGCTGCAGCAAGGCCGGCCTGTAAACGCCGCTGCGGCTCTGGGCTGAATTCTGAGAAGCGGAAGCCGTGTCTCGCCCTGTACTGTCATCACGTCTGTGCGCTGTGGTGGGGGGAGAAAGGAGAAAGGTCACGGTTCAGATCGGTCACGGGCTCTTTGAGTCTGATCAGACAGAGGTGAGATGAAAGCGTTCGCTCCGACCGGCCGCTGCAGTAACCGCAGGCATCTGTCCGCTGAAAGGTCACGTTTGACCCGTGGGCGCTTCGCTGATTCCAGCGCATTCGTTTAGGAGTTAAATCCACGGTTTGCTGAAAAGCATCTTTGTGACAGTAAACACTATGCAGTACAGTTTTCACAGCTGTGTGAACGCTCAGTCTTTCAACAGACGGATCGCTGTCGCACAGCTGCACGCTGTAAATCTAGAGGCTCTTGATGAGACTGTTGGACACAGTATTGCTGAGGTTCTTTCAATAATCATCTGCATTTATTTACATTTAAATGTATTCATTTAGCAAATGCTTTGGATAAGTGACTTAGTTCACTCACCCTCTGGCTATTCAAGATGTAGATGAGTTTGTTTCTTCATCAGGTTTGTAGAAATGTAGCATTGCATCAGTGTCTCCGCAATGGATGCTCTGCAGTGAATGGGTGCCGTCAGAATGAGAGTCCAAACAGCTGATTAAAAACATCACAATAATCCACAAGTAATCCACACCACTCCAGTCCATCAGTTAACATCTTGTGAAGCCAAAAGCTGCATATTGTACGAAACAAATCCATCATTAAGACACTTTTAACTTCAAACTGTTAAAATATGAGATTTCTCTCTCATACAGTCCAAATAACTGTTATCTGACAGGTTTTGACATTGAACATTTTATAAAAAGCTCAAAAGTTATACAGTACAATCAATGCATTTAGTTGCAACTAGTACAACTAAGCAGATTGTAAACGACATCCGTTGATTGCAGTTTGGTGACATTTGCAAACCCAGTTGGAATTACAACTCACATTGACTGATTAGTATATTTACATGTAAATATATTCCTTATATACTGTAAATAGCGGCTCTATGTGTTATACTGCACATGCTTTGTTTCTGTTTAGTTTTTAATCAGTTTAGTGTTTCTGTTTAGTATTTAATCAGTATAATTTTAGCAACATACTAGTTTTTGTTAATATTTTGAATTAGATTTTAAATGTTCTGTTTTCATTTTAATTTTGGGTTTTTCTTTTAAAATATGTCTATGTAGTTTTTTTTAATTGAATATTAGTTTTAGTTTATTTAGTTTTAGTTATTTTAGTACAACATGAACTAATGAATGTTTTTTTTATATATATTTCATTTCAGTTATTTCAAGTAAAAAGGCTTTTTAGATTTAAGTAATGATTTTAATAAATGAATAATATTTTGTAGTGCTGTCAAACGATTAATCGCATCCCAAAAAGTTTTTGTTTACATAATATAGGCCTATGTGTGTGTACTATGTATATTTATTATGTATATATATTTAGAAAATGTTTTTATTTGTATATATTTATATTCATATAATTTATATTGTATATAAATATATTTAATATATTAACATAACATATCTTTCTTAAATATATACATCCATGTGTTTCTATTTATATATACATAATAAATATACACAGTACACACATATATTATGTAAACAAAAACCTTTATTTTGGATGTGATTAATCATTTGACAGCACTATTCATTTGAATGACATTTTATTGTTTCATTTTAATTTCAGTTAAAGTTTTAGTAATTTTGTTGTGCTTTACTATTTTTGTTTTAAAATAGTTTTTATTTTATTAGTTTTAGTTATTTTAGCACTTCAACATAAATTTAACGAAAATGAGAAATGTTGCCTCGGCAACTAGCTGAAAATAAGTTTGCATTTTTTTATATTTAGTTTTAAAATTTAATTGAATGTTTATTTCATTTCAAGTATTGAAAAAGTGGTTTTAGTTAATAACCCTGATTAAATGATGTCTTCAAGTTCATTAAAAGCTGCATCAAATGCTCATGTCATTCATGCTGCAGCGCACCGGATGTAAAGATGTAAAGTTAGCGTGCGGTTAGGAAATGGCTCTATTATCTGCATCAATGCTTGGAGTGAGCTATTTTGGTAGCTCTTCTCAAAGCCTGAGCGCTGCACAAGCGGGTCAAGCTTCCTGTGGGTTGATCAGCGTTGTGTGTTTCAGACTTCATCGCGTGTGTGTGTGAGCTGAAATGACAGGTGCCTTCAGTGGTAGAGAAAAGGGCATTTACTGTCAGCGGAAACCAGCATGAGTGAGTGAGTGAGTGAGTGTGTGTGTGTGTGTGTGTGTGTGTGTATGTGTGTGTGGCGTAAAAGCCTCATGTCAGTCAGAGGCTTCTTGCTCTGACCTGTGTCTCATGGATTGCACTAGGGGCCAGGTTAGTCTGTTACACTCTCCGGACATCTATCTGTGTTTGTGTTTGTGCTGCTTTATCTCACTAAATCATTTCTAGTCCATACTGACTGTGCATGTTTTGTAAGATTCAGTAAGACTCGGAAAAACTTTTAGCGCAAATACATTTAAAGAATCATGTATGGAGTTGCAAAATGGTTGAAACGTTTTTTTGAAGTACTTGTATTTATCGTAAAGTTTGTTGAATGCTGTATCTGTACTTGCTTGTGATGCTGATATGGCAATGTATTTCAATAAAGCCTGTTGTCTGAATCCTGCATGCAACCTGATGTTCAGTGTGTTCTGTTAATTTGTAAAGCATTCAGATGGAGTTGCATTTGTCTCATTACTTTGCTGCAAATTTATGCATGAAAAGTTGGCATGCTTTTTTCTCGCTGTAGCAGCAAAGCGACCTTGAGTTTTGAAGATATGATGCTTTATCAGCCTGTTTCTGCAGTAAATATAGTTTTTTAATGCATTTTTAAAGTCTGAATTTTGCAGTACCCCGCATCCAATTTATTTAAGTGTGTGTTTGCTGTTGTACAGTATGTTTAACATTGTGTAATGCACGATGAGACTGAACGAAAACAACTGTGGGATTTTTTTTCAGTTGTCTGATCTAGCGGGTGAAAACGGTGCGTTTGATTACTTGGTAAAGTAACACAACACACATGGTTTAAGGAATTATTCATGTCTGCAGCACAAACTGCAGGAATCAATCTTAAATGTGAACAATATTAATAGTTATGCTTGCAAATTAGAAACCAGATGTCAGAGTGAAATGTGTTGAGCTCTGCCGCTCCCTTTAGGTGTAACATGGAACTGCAGGCTGTGTGTGTGTGTGTGTGTGGGCCCTAAATTGTGGTCCCCACGGGTACAAAAGCTTATAAATCATACAGAATGAAGTTTTTTGAAAATCTAAAAATGAAGTAAGTTTCCTTTAAGGGGTAGGTTTAGGGGTAGGGTTGGTGTAGGGCAATAGAATATACGGTCTGTACAGTAGAAAAAACATTACGCCTATGGAGAGTCCCCACAAGGATAGCTGACCAGACAAGTGTGTGTGTGTGTGTGTCTGTGTGTGTGTGTGTGTTTCTGAGGTTGGAGTGAAGTTGTGTGGTTTCTTGGTGTAAAAATATCATTCCATTAAAGGTTTGTGGGAGATGTAATGATGTGTAAAGAGCCGCTCGAGGAGGATGATGATGCCATTTATTACATAAATGAACGCGGGTGACCGGAACGAAAGGAATTTTCACATACTTCTCTCTCTCTCTCTCTCGCTTCTTCTAGACGATTTTAAAAGAGGGAAAGTTGATGAAACAGACGAATTTTCAGCGCTGGAAGAGACGTTACTTTAAACTGCGGGGAAGAACGCTGTACTACGCTCAGACGGCCAAGGTCTGTTGAAAACAGCACACACACACACACTTTTAATTAGTTGTGTAAATGAGAGCATACCGTATGCTCTATTATTTGTGTTTAAAGCTATTTATAATTTGTACACACTAACCCAAAACCTAAACCTAAAGGAGCATTTAAATATATTATATAAAAAAAAAATAATAATAAAAAATCACTAAATATATATATTTGTGAATGTGTATATTTTATAATATATTTTATATATATTATACTGTCTGTCTGTGTGTGTGTGTGTGTGTATATATTAAAATAAAAAATATAATGTACATATGTATACCTTTGACATCATCAAAGGTACATTTTGTAAGCTTTAATTTATTTCTGGGGACAATTTTGTGTTGTAGATATCTGTAGAAGTAAACATGAATCACACATGCACAGATTTACATGAACAGTTATTGATTTTTGCTGATTTGTTTTCAGTCAATTATTTTTGATGAAGTGGATCTGACGGACGCCAGTGTAGCAGAATCAAGCACGAAGAACGTTAACAACAGCTTTACTGTGAGTACACACATTAAACTGAGGATGTGGCATAATCTACTTTTTATGTAAAGCTAATTATAATTGGATTTGTATTGTGTGATGTGGTGATGAGTGGTGCTTGCCTGTGCAAAACGTCCCATGATTAGGGAATTATTTATTTAACAATTCCAGCTCTGATTCTTCTCAGTGAATATGTAATGGTTCTATTAACAATTCTTTAGTACTTTTCATGAAGAATTGTCTGGAAAAAGAAATTGCATGGTTGCATTTGCTACAGTATGTTGCCAACTGATGAGCTCATCTCAGAATAGAAATAAATCAGAAATAGTTCTTTTGAATGACTTTTCAGTCACTTTTTAGAGCCAGCATAAATGCAATTGGTTCTGTATATTACATAAATATGACATACACTTCCGTTCAAAGGTCTGGGGTCGGAGTGATTTTGAATTTTTAAAATAAAAAATTCAGTAAAATCAGTAAAGTTTAAAAATGACTGTTTTCTATTGTGATGCATTTTAAAATGTAATTTATTTCTGTGATCAAAGCTGTATTTTCAGCATCATTACTCCAGCCTTCAGTGTCACATGATCTTCAGAAATCAGTATAATATTCTGATTTACTGCATTCAAAACTGTGATGCATTGTATTAATCAAGATTCTTTGATGATTAGAAAGTTCTAAATAACAGCATTTGTTTGAAATTGAAACCTTATAAACATTATAAATGTCTTCACTGTCACTCTTACATCTCTGTGATGTTCTGATCTCTAGATATGGCATAAAATCATGGGATTTTATTAATTTTTTTAAGTCTGATGACTTAATGCTAAACGTCACCGACAACCCCTAAAAGCAAACTTTCTGCATTTGTAACAAGCAAAACCTTTTGAATGAACTCTTTTTAGCTTTGAGCATGTCTCTTTTAGGTCAGACTTCTGGAGTCAGTTTAGTGCTAAAAGTGTAGTTGAGTAAACACACACTCGTTTCTTGTGTTTTCTGTGACGTTCTCAGCGAGGAAATGAAGCTTCTGAGAAAAACGCAGAGTGTGTTTATTCTGGATCTGATAAAGAGAGCGGCCTGAAATAGTCTGGAGCACATGTGCGTGTGTGTTAGTGTTCTGAAGTGTATTTATAGCTGACATTTGGACTGATTTAATTTTAATAGCAGGGAGGAGCTCATGCTTTTCCATGGTCTGTCCGTTCTGGGCTGCGTGTGCGTGTTCGCTGTGTTTTCATATGCATTTTTTCTGCCTGCTGCTGGTTTGTGGGAGGGTCTCCGGCAGGACGCGGCTCTCTGAGTCATCGTGATGGAAACAGGGAGGAGTCTTTGAAAGAGAGAGGCAAGGAAAGAGACATGGATCAGCTGAGGAAGGAGAATTAGGAATGATTTGCCGCTGAGCCGGTTCGTGGATCTCCCTACGGCTCCGATCAACCTACATAGACAGGAAAAGAGAGAGCGATAGAGAGACAAAAGGAGAAAGAAGAGGTTTATTGGAGCGTCTGGATTTTGCCGGGAAATAAGTAAGAGGAAAGAATGTGTGGAATGAGGGAAAGAGAACGAGTGTGTGTTTACTTAAAGGGATAGTTCACCTCAAAATCATCCTTTGCTCAGCCTCGTGTCATTCAAAGCTGTGTTACTGTCTTCTTTTTTTGAACTACAAACAGCATTGTATGGATTTTTATCCATTGTATGGATAAAAAAAAACTCAAAATATCTTCTTTTTGTTCCACAGAAGAATTACAGGTTGGATTTTAATTATACTTTTGGTATACAATTACCCACAGATGTGAGGTAAATCTGGCAAGTAGTTGCTTTGCGGATATCTGGCGATGTCTTTAAAGGTGGAAATGATTCATGAAGTAAATTGATGTTTTACTATGTGTTCTTTTTTAGGGCTAGGTTTAGATTTTGGTCATCTGTAATCACCATAAATAGCTTTATATGTAAACAATTCAAGTATGTTGTATGTTTTTATTTAGATAGGTGTGTGTGTGTTTGAACACTGTGTCCAGTGTTGTGTTTTGGCCTCTGTGTGTGTGTGTGTGTTTGAATAACTGTCTAGATTAGATCTGCATGTTAATAATACTTGTAAATTAGAGAGATTTTATAGAGTAGGGCTGTCATTTGATTCAAATATTTGTCAAATTAAGTAATATGCCAGTTAATCAAAATAAATTTCATACACTACTGTTCAAAAGTTTAGGGTGGACAAGATTTTTTAAAAGAAACTAATATTTTTCTTCAGTAAGGACGCATTAAATTGCTTAGAAGTGACAGTAAAGACATTTATAATGTTACAAAAGATTTCTATTTCAAATAAATGCTGTTCTTTTTAACGTTCTGTTCATCAAAGAATCCCGAAGAATAAAATGTATCACAGTTTCCACTAAAATATGAACTGTTTTCAACATTGATAATGATAAGAGATGTTTCTTGAGCAGCAAATCAGCATATTAGAATGATTTCTGAAGATCATGTGACACTGAAGACTGGAGTAATGATGCTGAAAATTCAGCTTTGCATCACAGAAATAAATTGCATTTTACAGTATATTCAAATAGAAAACACTTATTTAAAACTGAAATAATATTACAAAATATTACTGCTTTTACTGTATTTTTAATCAAATAAACGGTGAGCATTATTTCAAAAACCTAAAAAAGTCTTACTGACACAAAACTCTTGAATGGTTGTGTATACCAATATTTCCTGAACAAAATATTTTTTTAATGGATTTTTTCCATATCATGGAACATAAGCCTATGACTAGCAGACTGACGTCTTTGGCTGTTATGTAGTATTTGCTGTTCCAGCTTGAATTACTAATACGCTAGGAAAAATTCATTACATTTGCTTTCATTCATTCAGCAGAAACTTTTATCCAAAGCGTCTAGTAAATGTGGAAAACAACAAAGCTATTAATCTTAAAGAGGCAATAACAGAATATGCTTTTATTAAAGGATTACACTACCGTTAAGAGAAGTATCTGTATATGAGACACATAATGCTTTAGAGAATGTGAAATGTGTCGCCATTAGTGAAAAATCAAGTGTTAATAGTTAAAAATTGGGATTTGTCCATTGAAGTGTGTAGGATTAAAGAAATTGATCTAATAAAAGCCACAGAACTTCACAAAAGTTCATTCTGGTTCAAGAGCCTTAAATGATTATATCTCATTTTAGACCAGATCGATTTTGCTTGGACAGTCAGCTGGTTTTCCTCTGACAGGCCTTACGGTGTGGTTCAGGACGCCGCGTGCTTTAAAAGACGTCACTGGCCTGTGTTGTGCAAGAGTTCGGCGGCATCTGATTGTATTCGAGGCTTTGAAGTGTTGAAGTATAAAACTGATTCATATTTAAAGGTGAAGTGTTCATCACTGAACAGAATTGCAACATTTAAAGTTTTCAAACAGGATTCTCAAACACTCTTACTGCTTCTCTGCCCCTCTCACTGTCTGCCATTGGTTAGTCAGACAGATAGTCCCGCCCCCAAACTCACGTCATTGGTTAAGTCAGAAGTTGCAGTGTACATTATGAATACCGTTATAGTGCATTATACATAGAGGCTTCGAGTAAGGTTTTACCATACGTGTTAATCATGGGTTAATATTTTGGATTTTCTTGTTTCATGCTTCAGACAGTAATTAATCTTACAAATGTGAAACCCAGTGCTAATATGTGCCTTCACCTAGAGCTAGAAGAGATATTAAAGAAATATTTCACCCAAAAATTAAAATTACCTGAAATTTCTCACTCTCACCGTATCCAAGATGTCGGTGAGTTTGTTTCTTCATCAGATTTGGAGAAATGTAGCATTGCATCAGTGTCTCAGCAATGGATGCTCTGCAGTGAATGGGTGCCGTCAGAATGAGAGCTGATAAAAGCAACGGTTTGAGGTTAAAAACATCTTGATGGATTTGTTTCAGCTTTTGTCTTCTCCAGATGTTAACTGATGGACTGGAGTGCTGTGGATTACTTGTGGATTATTGTGATGTTTTTATCAGCTGTTTGGACTCTTCTGACATTCTGACGGCACCCATTCACTGCAGAGCATCCATTGCTGAGACACTGATGCAATGCTACATTTCTCCAAATCTGATGAAGAAACAAACTCATTCTAATCTTGGATGGACTGAGTGAACTATTCCATTTTTGAGTGAACTATTGCTTTAACCCAGGGTTAATTGTAGTGAAAAGCATTAGATTAGTCTGAAACTGATATTTCATTAAGTGCTTTATTACATTAGTGCGGCAGCTGTGTGTTAAAGTGTTTAAAACAGATGTGTTTAGCTGTAACTGAACCCCAAAAGCTCTTTGAGTCGTATGACACGGTTCAGCTGGTGTTACGACAGCGCTGATAAAGTGTGTTTGTGGGAGGGATAAAAGTGGCTTCAAGATCTACATCAAAGACATTAACCAGACACACACTGACTCTGTGTGTGTGTGTGTGTGTGTGTGTGTGGGTCTGTCTCTCTTCCACTGCGTGTCAGCTGATCCATGCGTCTGTATGTTTTAGTTGGTTTTATGAGGCAGTTTGTGTACTCCTGTGAAATGAATAATATGATCGGTTTATATATATATATACATGTGTGTGTGTGTGTGTGTGTGTGTGTGCGCGGAGGAAAGGCATGAGTTATTTTTAACCGTGTGGGAACAGAGGGTCTTTGTCAGTAGCTGGAGGAAACGGATTGGGAAGCTGATGTACACACACACACACACACATGCTATTTTAGGCGTTTGAATGCTTGATGGTTTGGCTGTTGGGATACAGCTGAAAAAAATTGAGTTCCAGGTGTTTGTGGCCACTAGTGAACATGATTCTATTTTGCATTCTATTCTAATTTTATTGCAAGTTCTAAGCATAGTAATTTCAGTGAGAAAATCAGTTTGCATGAATGTCTTTGGTTTGTTTGGGGGTTTCTTCGGTCCTTTTACTTTATTGACAGAGCTGACATGAAGGAAACATCATCTTTCTTTCATCGAAACTTTTCAAACTCCTCTAAAACTTTTATTTTTAGGTTTAAATTTGATTTGAAATCCCTGATTTTTAATGTGCTCTCAGACATTTTAAAGTGTTTTCCTTTGAATGATATTTGATATTTATGTACTTTGAAATGTATTTATTTACTTACTTGAATGGCTTAAAATGGGATGCAAAAGAGATTCAAAATGTTGATGAAACTTACAATAAGGTTTCATTTGCTAACTGTAGTTTACTACATTAGTTAACATAAACAATGGACAATATATTATTTACAATGAAAAATATGTCTACAGCATTAATTGATCTAAGTTAATTTTATTAATGCATTTTTTTAATTAAAAGTTGTCTTTTAACATTAGTTAATGCACTGAACTAACATGGACAAACACTGAACCACTGTATTTTTATTAACTAACATTATCGACAATTAATAAATCCTGTATAAGTATTTTTCTCCTTGGAAAAAAATATATTGCCCTTAAGTTCATGTTGGCTGATGTGTACAAATAAGTCCTCATTGTAAAGTGCATTTCAAATCTAGTTAGAAAAGAAACAAGACACTTTTATACACTGATTGTCACTGAATATTTAATAATTTTCATTTATATGCACCACTATAACGATACATAAAGATACACACTAAAGCATGAAAAATACACGCCTCTGTGGACATTTGTGAGTAATAATGCAAACTATTTGCTTGACGCACTCATGAATTGACGCAAATTAAAATAAATTGATCTTATCAACTTATTTGATACTCAGATGCTATTGATACATCACTTAACACACTGTCTTACTCATGAGTAGCTGAAAATAGAAACGTGAAACTAATCTAATCTCAGTATTAAGGTGAAATTAATGGCCAATAGGTTGTTAAAGATATAGTTCATCCAGAAATGAACATTTCATGAAAATGTGTTCACCCTCAGGGCATCCAAGATGTAGATGAGTTTGTTTCTTCATCAGATTTGGAGAAATGTAGCATTGCATCAGTGTCTCAGCAATGGATGCTCTGCAGTGAATGGGTGCCGTCAGAATGAGAGTCCAAACAGCTGATAAAAACATCACAATAATCCACAAGTAATCCACAGCACTCCAGTCCATCAGTTAACATCTGGAGAAGACAAAAGCTGAAACTAATCCAGCATTAAGACGTTATTTTACTTCAAACCAAGTCCATAATAACACTTCCTCCAGTAAAAAAGGTGGTCTGGTCTGAATCAGGAGAGAAATCTGCACAGATCAAGCAGCGTTTCCAAGCCAAAACAGCTCTAAAACTCAGCTTCAAGATACACTCAAGATAAACTTCTCATCAAATTCTTGTAAAATCTAATTATCTGAGCTGCTCTACATCTATTGATTCATCTATCCAAGATGCTCTTGATGAGTTTGTTTCTTCATCAGATTTGTTGAAATGCAGCATTGCATCAGTGTCTCAGCAATGGATCTTCTGCAGTGAATGGGTGCCGTCAGAATGAGAGTCCAAACAGCTGATAAAAACATCACAATAATCCACAAGTAATCCACAGCACTCCAGTCCATCAGTTAACATCTGGAGAAGACAAAAGCTGAAACAAATCCATCATTAAGACGTTATTTTACTTCAAACCAAGTCCATAATAACACTTCCTCCAGTGAAAAAGTGGTCTGGTCTGAATCAGGAGAGAAATCTGCACAGATCAAGCAGCGTTTCCAAGCCAAAACAGCTCTAAAACTCAGCTCTAAAATTCAGTGAATTTTTCACTGGAGGAAGTGTTATTATGGATTATGGACTCGTATTTTAGCCAGAAGCAACAGTTTGAAGTTAAAAACGTCTTGATGGATTTGTTTCAGCTTTTGTCTTCTTCAGATGTTAACTGATGGACTGGAGTGCTGTGGATTACTTGTGGATTATTGTGATGTTTTTATCAGCTGTTTGGACTCTCATTCTGACGGCACCCATTCACTGCAGAGCATCCATTGCTGAGACACTGATGCAATGCTACATTTCTCCAAATCTCATGAAGAAACAAACTAATCTACATCTCTGATGGCCTGAGCATGAGCCCATTTACAGCAAATTTGAATTTTGGGCTGAACTATTCCTTTAAAATCTTTCCAACATTCTTCAAGCACATGTTTCTGGAGCCCTGAGGGTTCACACACACACACACACACACACTTACTCACTTACTCACACACACGCACGCACACACACTCACACACACACACACA